GGAGGAGTTCGACTCATTCGAGCTGATACAAATTCCTCGAGGAGAAAATGGTCGGGTGGACTTGCTATCAAAAATCGCTCAGAGCCTGGTGGATTGTAAGAGCAGAAGTGTTACTTTATTGCATCTTGAAAAGAGTATGGTCGAAGCAGAAGTTGCAGAGATTAAAGAAGTGGAAGATTGGAGGGCCCCAATCTTGGAGGAGTTGAAAGAAGGAGCGATAAAAGTGGTGAGGAGGTTTTTTGAGCATGGAGGTATTCTTTACAAACGGTCGTATGGGGGACCACATTTGCGGTGTGTTACTAAGGAAGAGGGTCAATATGTGCTGAGAGAGATGCACGAAGGATGCTGTGGTGACCATAGCAAGTCAGGGGCTTTGGTCGCGAGGATTTTGAGAGCGGGATATTTTTGGCCAACGATGAGGGAAGATGCAAAAGCGATGGTAAAGAAGTGCTTGCAATGCCAAAAACATGGTCCTCTTATTCACCAACCGGCAGAAGCAATGACAACGATGAGCGCCCCTATACCATTCGCCCAATGGGGTATCGACCTAGTGGGGCTGATGCCTCAGGGAACCGGGCAGAGGAAGTTCTTAATAGTGGCAGTCGATTATTTTACAAAATGGGTAGAAGCCGAGCCTTTAGCGAATATTACGAAGGAGAAAGTAATTAAATTTCTATACAATAACATCTGTTGTCGGTTTGGCGTACCCAAAGTGTTGATCTCCGACAACGGCACCCAATTTAATGGTAAGCGAATTCGAGCGTGGTGCGAAGACATGAAAATCAAGCAACACTTTGCCTCCGTTGCTCATCCGCAAGCCAATGGCCAGGTCTAAGTAACCAACCGAATTATGTTGAGTGGGTTGAGAACAAAGTTGGAGAAGGCCTCGGGAGCATGGGTCGATGAGCTGAGTTCTGTACTTTGGGCATATCGCACAACCCCGAGGTCGACAACAGAAGAAACCCCGTTCAGTTTAGCTTATGGAATGGAAGCGTTGCTGCCGGTCAAGGTCGAGTTATCATCCCAGATGTCGAGCACATATAATGCTGAACAGAACGAGGAGCTGATGATGGCAGCCTTAGATACTATTAAGGAGCTGCGTGGGAAAGCAGCAATCAGGGTGGAGGTGTACAAGCAAAGGATGCGAGCCGCTCACGACAAAAAGGTGAAAATTTGCAGACTCCAAGTAGGCGACCTGGTTTGGAAGCGCGTCGATGTGCTCAAGCATGT